GTTTTGACCAGATGGATGAGCTTAACAACTTATCTTAGTGCTAACAGATAAGTTGTAAAGACAGTTTTAGAGAAATAATTAAAAGTTTGGATTCTAAAACCAAAAGAGGTTTTTGTAGCGTTATGCTACGAGTTTTCAAGATAAAGGCTTGAAACTTTTAAATTATATGTAAAATTAAGAGCTGAGCAAGTTTACTTAAGATGTTAAGAGCAGTTATCTTAATAAAATATTGAGTTATTAAGGATTTTATACTGGCGAATTTTTAGTTAAGTTTTGTGTAAGTGATTGACGGAAAGAGTTTTCTATTCTAGAATAAAAATTAAATTATATAAAAATTAATATTATTAATTAATCCCAATTATATTAAGAATGATATACCTTTACTTGAAATATCTTGGAAGATATGCTTTTAAAATTATTAGTCAAATAGTAATGAACAATATCAAATTATATTAATTATAAAATTATATAAATATCGGCATTATATTATAAATTAAATAATTGATTACATTAAAAAAATAGTTAACCTTCGCTTAGTAGATATGCATATAATCTCAATGATTCAAATAAAAATAATTCATTCTAATATCATTAATTAAAAATTACTTTATTAGAAAATTGATTATATCAAAGTACGCTTGGAAGATATTCAACAAACTGTCACATAATAATCAGATATTCGGCATTGTTTACTTATATATAAAAAAGGAAACAATGTCGAATACCTGATAATACTTATTCATTTTGCTGCCACGTAGTTAATTGTTTCAAATGTTTTTTGAATTACCAAATTTGGTCTGACATTATATGTATGAGATATAGCTATAATATATTTAGTTAGATAAATAGTTATATTAAATAATTTACATTTTTTATTAGAAAGATATATGGAGAATTATTTAATTATACAAGATCGAAGATTATGCTTTTCAATTCGTTCATATAGTGTTGTGTTATTCTGAAAATTCTAAATTTTGGTTAAAGAAGATTCAGTTATTGAAGAAATCATCTTACCTGACTAAGAATTCAACCTTATTATAGTTTTAGCATATTTGTCTTTGGTGATATGTATGAATATCAGCTTTTATAGTTAAGAATAAGTTTTTTCATTATGGCTTTAACATGTTTATCTTTAACTTCTAAAGAATTTTTTTTTTGGTTAGGGTGTTTTATGATAGAAGTAATAAGTCTCTCTTGTTTTTTGTTTGAGAAGATGTTTGACAGAAAATAAAGTCATAAATGTTCGTAGAATTCTGTGTATATCTTTGATAGTCTTTCTGTATTCATAATATTACTATATTAGATATAATATTTTTGTAAATTATAGATTTTGTATTTTCTTTAAAAAAAGTGAAGAAGTTAATGCGTTCCAGAGAGAAGAAAATTAACACGTTCTGGAAAAAGAACTAACTGTGTCAATGTTTACATATATTTATAATACTGCTTATTAATTTTCAGAGATTGAAATCTATTATATAGCTGTAATTTAAATTCTGATTATTGAACAAATCTATAGTATTCTCTAATTTGTTTTATGCATTTATAGCAAATTTTATTCAAAAAAGTATTTAAGACAGCACTTGCATCCTACTTTTTTTTGCCAAAAACATTAAAGCAAATATAAAATATATAAAAGTAAATAAAAAATGTCATCGTTCAAAGAGCATTCTAAACGCAAAACAAAAAAGTACAACGTAATTGTTCAAAATGTAAAGGGAAATATATTAATTGAAGAATATAACAAGAACATATCGCCCTAGCTGATATAAAGAAATCTACTAAAATTACTAAACAATCATATATAACTAAGTGTAAATGTGAAGAAACACTGCTTTCTAATTTTATACAACATTATAGTGCAGAAAGTAATGATTCCAGAAATGATTATTCAGAAAGCAATGTTTCAAAAAACAATGAAGATGACAATGACCCACTTCCAGAATTCTCAAAGGAAAGTGAAGATTCTGGAGATGAATATTTGAATAACAATGGTTCTGAAAATGATGAAAGCGATGAACAAGATAGTACTACTAGTGAAAATGATGAAGATAGCTCTAATATAGGGACCGATACATTAAGTTTATTTCTAGAAGATGACTTTGATGAAAAATCATCAATTTCTAAAAAATCATATAAAGGAAAATTTAAGCAGATATCATCAATTGAAGAAGAAATGAATATTGATCAACCTTTAGAAGAAACACTACCATTTGATGTATATAAGCAATCAGATGATGATGAAATTATGACAATACCCGAAGAAGAGCCAGATGATTCACCTTCCTCAAGTAGTTCTTCAAATGATTCAACTGATTCTGCAAGTGAATCTTCAACAGACTCACAAGAACATAAACCTATTAATTTTATTCTACCGGAAATTGATCCTAAAATTTTTGATTGACCATTCGATTTTGATGATAATCCAAATAATTGGATTATCTTATGGGTAATGAAATATCAGCAACGTTTCAATATACCTGATACTGGTATTGAAGTTTTAACAAAATTTCTTCATTCTTTACTTGAACATTTCAAAATAAATGAAGCCGATAAATTACCGAAAACAATACATACTATAAAATCATCTTTAGGTATCTTAACTAAATACAAAAAATATGTTGCGTGCCCTAAGTGTCATAAACTCTATAATCAATTAGAAATAAAAAATTATGAAGAAGATAATCAACCAGCATGTAAAATGTGTGTTCATGTAGAATATCCAAATCATAGATCAAAAATACAACGATCAGTATGTAATAAGCCATTAGCAGAGTTAATAAATACAAGAGATGGTACTTTATTACAACTATTAAAAATTTATCTGATTGGAAGCATAAAACAACAACTTTATATAATGTATCAGCGAGAAGGCTTTGAGAAAATATTAAGGTATTCAAGTAATAGAAATGTCTCAGTGTGAATTTTTTCAGATATATATGAAGGAAATATCTGGAAAAACTTTGCTATAAATCCAGATAATCCGAGTCTATTTTTTACAAAAAACAGATTGGATACAAATATCGGTCTAGCTATTAATATTGATTGGTTTCAACCATTCAATTATACAGTACATAGTACTGGAGTAATTTACAGAGTTTTATATAATTTACTACATGAAGCACGATTTAAGCTGAACAATATTTTAATATTAGGTATCATTCCAGAACCAAATGAACCTAGTGATATGAAATTTGGCAAGAAAACTTTTACAAAGAATCAAGAGATTGCATAATACCCATACAAAGAATATTAGAACAATCCATACCTTCTTCATATAAATTTAAAAGAGGTAATAATATAAGAAAGTATTAGTAATAATTCCAACAAATAAACATTTTAATATATAAATAGACAGATATTTTAATAATTTATATATTATTAGACCAATGATGTATTAATATTAATTAATAAATAAATATAATATAAATAAATATTTTATAAATTTTATTAACAATATTTAGATTAATATTAATT